CATGTTTGGCAAAGTGCTGAAGAAAATTAGAACACAGCAATTTTCCAATACTCCAGACATAAGGAAGCAAAATCTTTCGAAAAATCGATTTTATTTTCATGGCATAGTACATTACAATATTAATCTAAACGATTAAAACTCATTCATTCATTTGTTTTGAATGTCAAAATTTACGCAGGTGCTGTCCAATTAAATCCAGAAAACTTCTTTAATTCTTACATTCACTAAGATTGCTACGAACTGCCTTATTTAATTCTTTTTAGGGGTTTATTGATCAATTTGTCTTCAGATATCTATTTAGAGTTTCTCATGAAGAAAAAGAAAATAAAGCTTTATCGAAGTTTCTTTTCATAGATTCGTTCTCTCCTAATAAATATATATCTTCAGACGATTTCACAAGATTCATTTTCGCTGAACGGAAGGAAGGTTTGGGTTATTTTATGTTCTTTAAGAGCTTTTGATTAAGCTTTTCTTAGGACTACACCATACTTATTTAATGTTGTATTGATTTGAATAATCAGGATATATTGTGCACGTTTAATAATTTTCTTTTGGAAAATTGAACATTAATGCATAATGCAAAGTGATTCAGTAGTACAGCGGTTACAAACTTGGACACATCATGAAGATCAAGAATTGTATACCAACCTCTTTTTGGAATTGTCTACGTATGCCGCTAGGGGAGCCATCCCATTATGAACTGACTGTTCCTGCCCACTTGGAATGGTACTTTTATTTAACCAAATATTTTTTTCCAATAATCATTGCCAAAAATTGCATTCAATAAACTCAGAACCAGCTTATATTTCAACTTAACTTTACATATAGTTCAATGATTTGGTGACTAACTTGTCAAGCTCGCAAAATCGTTAATTTATGCTAGAACAGATATTTACTGGGTGTATTTGAAGGCGATTTTTGTAAACATCAAATTAACACAACTTAATATAATAAAATGAAGATAGTGCCTTTGTGTCTCGCTCATAACTTCAGAACCGTTTATGCTAATCTTGAAATTTATGAATAGCGGGTGCAAGAAGCAATTTTTACCATCCGTCCTTAGAATCATTCAAAAAATTAATTTTTCTCCTTTGTTTAAGATAAGGTGTTATAAATTGATCTGTAGACTATTTTTTTTTTAATACTTAAGGAGTCTAGAGCTGGGGTTTCCAACTTACATGAGGCCGGGGGGAGCAATTAAAAACACCTGTCAAATGGCGGGTGGCAACTTTATCAAAATTTTATATAGGACTCTTTCATGTTTGAAGGAACATAAATATTACAGTCAGGTTTTTATCAAGTTGTACAAAACAAAAGTATTGAATTACAAATTAAAATAAGATTTTTAAAAATATTTAATTGCATATTAAAAAATTCTGGCTACAGTAACTTTAATGTGCACCTATGTATTAAACAATTAATGTGCAACAGATATAAAATTGTTAAGATATAAAACTTAAAGTAATTAAAACCCATATAGATTTTTTACGAAAATTGTCCTCAAAAAAGAGACAACTAATATATTTTAGTTAGTGGGCCGGTTGCAGCCTGTGGGCCGCCAGTTGGTAACCACTGGTCTAGAGGGTATTTCCTAACAAAAGTTTCGATTCTTAAAACAAAATATATGCTATGACCTGTTTTATTAGAAATAATTTGACTGAATTGCGGCGACATCGTCGCAGAATATTAGAGTTTTTGCCGAAAGATTTTTACTTGGGAAAGGAAAAATTTTAGTTTTCCTTTCTGCATAATTTTTCGAAAAATAATTTTTTTTTCTTCTGCAGAATTTTTTTTACAAAGATGTCTTTCTTGCGAATCAGAGAGGAAAGAAATAATCATGATTTTTCTATTCTCATTTGAGATTTTAAAAAAAATCTGTAATAACTAGCTTCAGCTAGAATTTCAAATTAATAATATAAAATAAAAAATTCAGAAATCGCGAAAATTTAAAGCTGTTCGGTCTAGAAATGATGTTCTTTCTTAATTTTTTTTCTTTAAAGAACACCATATTTTACATACACTTATTTGAGTTTCTCTTTTTAAAAGAATCGTATTCAAGTGATTCGTGATCTTTATTTTGGGAGTTACAGCATGGATTTTACAATTTTTAATTTATGTATGAATTTAAATTCAATATCGTTTAATTTATTTACGAATTTTAATTTGTGTAATGATTTATAAAATTTGAAATTGCATTTTTCCGCCTGTAAAATGCGAGAATATCGCCTATAATATTAGGATTAAAAAAATATTACTTTTACAGTTATAAAATTCTATTCCATACTTTCTTCCGTAAACACAACCTTTCTGTTACTTTAAATTAGTAATTGTTATAATTAAATGTATCTTAAAGCAAAATATTACTGCCAGGGAAGTTTGTCGCAGAAATTACGAAAAATTCTGTCACAGGCTTTGACACTAAATATAAGACAGTACTGAAAAAAAATTTTTTTTCTTCCAAGTTACGAAAAAAAAATGACTGTAACCGACACACCCATTTTCTAAATTGGAATTGTCTGCGAACTCTTTTAAGTTATTCATTCAAAAAGTTTTGTTTTTAAATCTGTTCTAAATTGGAATCGTCTACGAATTTCTCCATTGCTTAAATTCGAACTAGCACTTTGATCAAAAAATATATAAAATATTTACCAATATTAAAGTAAAATTAAAAAAAATCATAATCATTTCTTTTTTCAATTAAAAGTAATATTTTTCATTTCTTTGACCCAGTGTGGTTTTAAGAAGAACATATCTGACTGCTCATTAAAAGTTGTTTGAAGTGATTAATGAGTTTTATGACTTACATCGCGCCCAAGACGTATCTTTATCATAGTTTTTCTATTCTTTAAATTTAAGTTTCAAAAGTTCATTGCTTTGTTTCAAAAAATTGTTCGATTTTAAATAATGTCTGTACTTATGTTAAAATCATATAGAAAATTCAGAATCCTAAGTTAAATTTTAGACAAATTATGGAAAGTCAAAAAAGTTTCACATTGATGGGTTCTCGATAAAATCAAAACCCCTAAACTCTTTAAAAAATAACAACAGTGATTAATAGCTTTTACATCTGTTAAATTAAAAACGTAATTTATTTAATTACAAAAAAAAACAATAAATCACAGTGAACAATCGACCCAATTCTAACTATCAATGTTCAAATAGGTAGCTTGTAATTCTGAACTCAACCCAGAAGACAAAGGAACTCTAAGCATTGGGACGAACTAGTCTTTGTGGAAGACTTTTTATAAAACTTACACGTTCCGTTGAGAGGGAATTCTCTCACGGTTAGCCCGGCGGCAAGAGGATTCTTACCCATTACCCGTCTACCAGTGAGGTTATTTTACTTCAGTCTGGTGGTCGGCGCGAGCCAGTTTATCTCAATTAGCCACCGCTGAGATTCGAACCAGGGACACCTCAGCTGGAGGTGAACGCTCTATCCTCTGCGCCACTGTGGCTCCGACGTAATTTATTGTACCTTTTTTATTATTCTTTACATCAGATGAGCTCAAGGATCATGAATGGCATGTGAAGGCCATGCCACAGAATTAGAATTTTCTGAAACCACGTGTTTATTTGCTTATAGTTACGCTGCAGGAGCTTGTTTTTGTAAAAATAAATTAATAATTAAGTATAAGAAAAAAATTAAGTTGGGCACAAAAAAAGTAAAATAAATTGTAGGTATTTTACTTCCGTACCGCAACAGCTGCATAATGGTTTATTGGCGAAGGATGAACCGAAGACATGCCATCGTAATTTTGATCCTCTGAAGAAGGGATGATTCCTCTGCTTTGGTAACACGACGACCTAAGCGCGAAGTCGAGCATTTAACGGTAAAACAGTTCAACAAGGACTGATACTGCACATCCTGGGTCCCTCCGCAGGCTGGCTCTAAGTGGTTAACCCACCCGCTTATTCTGACCAAGGCCAGTGATGCTCGACTTCGTTGTTCTACTGGGACTAATGCGGGACGTAAAATAAATGAAAAAAAAAATTGCTACTTTTAAGAATCTTGAGCAGGGCTCGAAAAACCGCCCGTCCTCGGCGGTCAAAAATTTTCCGCGGACAACTAATTTCTCGAATCAGACGTCCGCGCGGACGGGCATTTTCCCGTTAATGTTCGGGATACACTTTCAATTTTTGTTATCTTACAAGAGTCTAGCGCCTCACTTCTAAAATGACCCTCTAATCTAGAAATCCCGTACAGCAACATACTGCGCATGGTGGATTGATGTTTTTTCCGTCTGGGAGTACTGGAGCAGTTGAAAGGGACTTTTCAGCAATGAACTTACAAAAAAACACATTACGTAAGCGTTAAACGCAATTATGAACATCCACCTAAATGGAAAACTCCTTTCGGATTTCTGTGCAGAAACCTCTGTAAATCATAGGCTTGATTGTGGAACTGGCAAACGTCATATTTGATTCATTTAAAAAACGCAGTACCCTCGGATAAATTGACATTCCAGATAACTTGACCTTTGTCATTTAAATTATTTCATAAAAGAAATACTAGGTTTTACTATTAGTAACCTAGAATTTCTTTTTTTACTGTATAATGTAATCCTAGTAGCTACTAAATCATTGTGTAATTTATATAAATGTTTGTAATAAATAAGAAAAAGTAACATTTTTATTTATTTAGAAGCGACGGGTCCGTTGTTGGACAAGTCGTCCTCAGGGACGGGTAAAATTTCAGAGTTTTTTCGAGCCCTGATCTTGAGTCAACCGCGATCAATAGCAGTCTTTTTGGAGTCGATTGATACTAATTAAAGTTAAGCTCTATTTTGATAAAGTGAATGTGTTTTGCTAATCTAATAATGGAAAAACATGGAAATGGAATGATCTCATGGAAAAACAACGAAAAATTAATAAATAATAAAGAAATTGAATTATTTTAGCATTATCAATTGTTTCAGTATTATATGCCTTTCAATTTTGTATATAATAACGTTATGCTGATTAATAATGAGTTATTGATTATTAACTTTTTTTTCTTCCAGTACCAAGAACTGTCGGCTTGTTCATTCAGCTCCTCTCAGTGCTCAAAGACATTTCCAGATATGAGTTGCTTTCGTAATTCTAAATCCTTATGAAGATAATAGATATCGCCTTCATTTTCTGCGTCTTAAGGTAAGATTTTCAATGTGATTTTATTTTAATTTCAAGCATAGGTCTACAATTAAACTTTGAGGGTTCAAGCATTAATAAGAGGGATGAGAGCTCGGGAATTTAATTGCCGAAAAATTGCTTTTGGTAATGATATCACAATAATTTCCCTCTTTGTATAGTTTTCCATCATAGAGTTCAGATTAAAATCTCGAAAAATAGTCGAAATTTGCGCTGACAGTAAATTATTTTTTGGTGATAATATCACGATACATTGTTGGTAGTGATCTGGCAATGTTTGAAACCTGCAAAATATGATTATAGCACTCGGAGAGTTGTTGAAATTTCGATTACAAGATTAAATTATGATACACACAAAAACAAGTTACGTACTGAAAAAAAAAAACAAAAAAACTAGCGTTAAATGTATATATTAAAATGACCCTTTCAGCATATCAAATTCCAATTCTGTAGTTGCATTTCTGCTGGCTGCAAAGTGATCCACGTTGTATTTTGCACAACAAAAATTACAGCTAATAATTATCAAACTAATAATTGATTGTTTTAATTTTTTTTTATTCCATCGTACTCTCTGTACATATTTTTACACACGTTCGAAGTTTTAAGTCTCACAGTTTTTGTGCAGCAAAACAAAGTGCTATGTTAACTTAAATACCCGATATTTATTCTGCACTAAAGTACTAACTATTAAATTCTACTTATACGATTTAGCTATTTTTTTCTTATTTTCTCAAAAAGAATGCAATATTTTACAATATTTCTTAAATGCAGTTACATCTTTTTACCGTTTAAAAAAAGTAACCTTGGCAGGAAAGAGTGTGATGCATTTTCAATGAAAAGGGTTTCCCATTCGCCAATCTTTGTAACAAAAGGAAAAATAAAAACACATTGAAATAAACAATGCTAACACTGACCATTAGAGATTTTAGATTATTTATTGCAACAGGGTGAAAAAAGTGTGAAGCAACATTAGGAACAAATATCATAACTTCTTCCGCTTTTTACAGGTTTTTCTCATGTTTATGAAGTAGTCGGAAAATACATTTGTTTCCAATTTATTTTGATTGAACAAATGATAACTTTTAAAATGCATTTCTTCCACTTTCAAATTTCTGATTTTGCTTTATTAACAGAAGCAGTGATATGTTTTCGGTTTAAGACAGTAACCTTTGCAGGAAAGAGAGCTACAAACCTTCAATGAAAAGGGTTTCCCATTCGTCAACCTCTGTAACAAGAGGAAAAATAAAAAGACATTGTAATAAAAAATGCAAACTACTGACTATTAGAAATTTTAGATTATTTATTTCAACACGGCGTAAAATGTGTGAAGCAATATCAGAAACAACTAGCATACTTGACAACTTTTTCCGCTTTTGACAGATTTTTCTGTGAAAATGGTAGGAAAATTCATTCTTTTGCAATTTATTTTGATTGAATAAATTTTATTCACAGTGTTTTTTACCACTGCTATAAATAATTATTTTAAACAAACATACCTGATATACCTAGACCTGATAATCTCACAGAAGTTAAATACAGTCCTAATTAATCAATTTAAGCTTAACTAATACTTTTCACTAAGACTTTCAATAATGCGGGAAGCTAGAATTTTCAGGTTGGCATGTATTAAATAAATAAACATGACGATGAGACATTGGGAGATGAAACAGGATGCTCATATAGCAAGGTAGCTCATGAAGCAATGATATGTGTGAATAGTCACAGAAATTACTCAAAGAAAGACAGAAAGTATCAAAATAACACGAATGGCAGGTGTTAATATACTCATAAATACAATTAAGAATCGAAACATTTTTGATGCACGTGCATAAAAGTACTTTAAGCGAAGCACTTAATGAATGAACACCAGGAACAAATAGAGAGACATGGAGATGAGCAATAGGGCGATGAAATAGACATAAACACAGCAAGCCATAATAAGCAATATAATGCATATGAATAGTACCACAAAAATTAATTAAAAGTAACATCAAATTAACAAATAATATGACTGGACTGGAGTTCTCATACATACATTTACAAATCAAAACAATTTCAACGCACTTAATCATAAAAAGAAACTGCACATGCATTACTGAAATATCAAGCCAAAATGAATGAAGTTTGACAATATAGAAGTTTGTTTCGTCACTTAGTGATTAGTTTCACAAATAGGTAAACATAATGGAATTTAGTTAGAGACACATATATAAATTTCATGCGGTTGATCCCTATTTATTCTGAGAGTAAGACTTTTTTGTACTTAAATGATAGCTTACTGGGTTGCCAATTGGGAAAAGTCGGGCCCAAGGAAAAATTCATGTTCTGTTTTATGATGGTTATCCTTATACAGATTTTTAATTAAATAATTCGATATTAAATTGTTTTTGTACAGACAGAGAACATATTAAACAAATAAATAGTGTTTATCTTTACATTACTAAAAAATAATTTTTGTGTTTATTTTTTTCTGATAATCGCAAGTTATGTAAAAAAATGGAAACACAAGCTTAGCCATTTTTCTATGCTTGCTTTATATGAATATTGTGTAATTTGAGTGACCTTCAGTTTTATTGTTAAATAATAAAAAATAAATCAATTTGGTTTAGAAAACGTTCAATGCATATACAAGAGAACAGACAAAGGGGCCACTTACTCCTTTAGGACGCAGTCTATCTTCATTCACAAAAGATGCAGTTAGTGTTGCCTGCACTTTTTTTGCAATAGCTAGATTTTTTTATCATTTTGACTTGAGATAATATAAATGATTGATTACTGTATATCTAATTGTATAAGTTGATCCCCTTATTTTAGATAACAAGATAGCAAACTTCTCATATGTCAGATGCATAAATCAACCACCGAAAAAAAAAACTGGCAATTTCTAAAATTAAGCGTTTTGGGATCAACACGGTAGCTGAAAGGAGTAAAAAATCTTACAAGGACAGGGAGTATCAGAGGTGCTCCTATAGACACGTGTTAAATGATATTAGACACTTGGGAAAATGTGGATTCAAACGTTATTGAATCAAACACAGATGATGTTCTGGAATTTTTAAATTTATAGCTTTATAGTATGTTTTAAAAGTTTTTATAGTATGTAATATTTTTTGAAATATTCTTGAATAAATTATCTTAAGTTTAGTTGTTCATAATTTTTATTTCTGAACATAAAAAAAAATTATGTCCAAGAATAATTTTATGCGATATTTTTAATTATTAATCTTTTTATTATTTAACCTAATTTTAAAAAATATCTTGAATGGTAAGATTAACAAATTTATACCTTACTTTAAACTTTGTAACTTTAAATGACAAGATTTGAAAGAGATTGAGCGTATGAGAAAAATATTTCCATAACGATGTAAAAATTTATATACCTTGTACTTCCAAAAATTTTTTCACTATTAAATAATGAAGAAATAAACATAAGTTATTTTTCCAAAAAACTATCTTCAAATAAGAGAGTTTCATAATCGGCTGAAAAACTTTGGAGCTATTTAAAATAAAAATAAAATAAAGTTATGCGAAATAAGGAAAATCACTATTAACAAAAAAGGAACCAAACTTTCAACTGCTTTCTTGATTTACCTTATTAACTTGATTGATTGTTACTGAACTTGAACCATACTTTCTAGGTTATGGCTTTCAGAATCGAAAATCAGAACCAGTAAAAAAATGTTCATTTGTCGAAAGTAGAATTTTCTGTTTGATTTTGTAACTTAAAATTTCAATTACACAAATAAATTAGTAATTTTAAAGTTAGCTCTTTGAATCATTAAGATCACTTCCTAGCACATCAGTATCATTAGATCATAAGTTGAAAAGGTATTCTGTTATTTTGGGCACTTTACATACTTATTAGCATATATTTTTTGTTAAATTAATATGCTTTATAAAACTTTTTCTTTAGGAATCATTCAAATTCCTTATTTAGAATGGCAACTTACCACTTTTGCTTCATTGACTGTATTGCTGCATAATGCATTTCTTAAAATATGTAATATAGATTTTTGCAAAATTTGACTGGTATAAATAAAATATCTCAAAATAATTATATAACTTTACATAAGTTAAATTTAGTAATTTATCTATCAAAAGACTTTCCATGTTTGCTTAATGAAATCTAGCTCTTTGAGGATCAGAAATAGAAATTTTAGAAGAACCAATGCTAATTCAAATAATCCACGCTAAAAAAGTGCTAAGTGTAGTTAAATATTATTCAACTGAATGATAATTTATATTTCAGTTTCTCACAATGAAAAAAAGGCAGAAGGCTGTAAGAATTTTCATACACAAATAAACCATAAAAAAGTTTATTGCTAATTAATAATGCAGAGAAAAAAGCAAAATGTATAAGTAACACTTTCTGTTATTATAAAGAAAATATCTCTGAAATCTAGAATGTGTATCATTAATTTATCACATTTAGTGAAGATGTTTTTTTAAAAAATAAATAATGTTGCATTTAGGAATGTCCAAGAGGGAGAGCAGAACAAATTACGGAGTGCATCGACCGACAAACCGAGGATAAAGACATGCATCTCGTATATGGAATCTGTTTAACAACCAAGTGAGATATCTTTCCAGACCAAGACCAAAACCACCATGAGGACAGCTGCCATATGTTCTCTGAAAAACAAAGTTACACTAAGGATTATTTCTTTTAATTTATTCTAAATAATAATATAATTAACAATATATAAGAGTCAAGGCTCATTAATATTTCTCTCAGTGTCAAAGCAAACAGCTAAAGACATTGTTAGCTAGCTAACAGCCAGTTTCGGTTTAACTTACATTAGAGAATGGATAAATATCAAGATTGATTTTTCAATTTAATATTTAGATTTAATTATTTATTTAAATTTTTATTACAAACATTTTGATGAAAATTTATAAAGAAAGTAACTAAATTTTTTTAATTAAAAATAATTCCTTTTATCAAATCGTTAATGTTTAAAAACTAAAGTTGATGAGATGTTTTTTGAAACACGAAAGTATTTTTTAAAAAATTTACCAGATTTAAAATCAGACCAAGTTTTGCTCTGTTAAATGAAGATTTCTGTTTATTTTTATACATCATAAATAATGAAAAATATGTTCTAATTTAATGCAATAGCATTTATGTTACATAAAATATGATTCAAAAATAAAGAAGGATAAAAAAAATCTAAGGAATATTTCAGTATTAATACTACTGAAATTACTCATTTGAATTACTTTTTTTTGAATTGTTTGGAGCATTAGATTTATCACATTCAAAAGAAGACTTTGTAATTTACATATGCTCAAATTGATTCCATTTCTTTGCAAATGTATAAAAATAAACATAGAAACAAATTATGTATGAATGATATAGGCTTATTATTTATTTGTTACAGTTTACATAAAAAGGTAAAATCCAGGATAAAGGTTAAAATGGTATGAGAGCCATCTAACCAATATTTCCCTTTATTGTATTTTTTATGGTAATAATTTCAATATCAGCGATATTGTGGGATTCACATTGCCTTAGAGCACCTAATTTATTAAATTGTGCTTAACGCTAACTTCAGGTTTGTTTTTTAAGTAGCTCATTTAAGTTGTTACCCATTTTGCTTCACTAACATTACTACTTTCCACATTTGACTTAATATTATAGTTGATAAAACAGAAGAATATGTTGTAAGTTCTTCTACAAATACTACACATGTCTCAACTTCAAGTACTAGAATATAAATAATAAATTAGATGATTACCTGGTCAATGTACCAGTAATAAGATTTAGGATCTATGCCAGCTGATTTGTAAGCCTCCATCATTTCATCTGGTTTCCATATCCTCATTGAACCTCCAATAATTTCTCCAACACCAGGCATAAGAACATCAACCTTTTATGTATGAACGTAATAAATTATAAACATTGCAGCAAAATAATTTCAATTGCTTTAAAATTGGAAAGATCAATTTCTGTGATTGATTGAATGTAGAAGTTTTATGGCACAAGATGTAAAGGAGGATATGCTGCGTCAAACAATTTGTTGAGTTAGATCTAATGGTAAATTGCACACAATAGTTTCTTTATCATAAAATAAACGAAGCTAATAAAATTGTTTATCTCAAGACACATATTATTTTTAAAAGTTTACAAAAGAAATGCGAAAATGTTAGGATGATGAATATCATCTAACAAATCCTTCATACATAAAATCATGCTATTGAAAAAGGTAAGACGATGTTGGCTAAAATGTGATGAACCGTAAGTAAAGCATTGCAAGAGTTGCATTTGGGAGGAGATTCTCCAAACAATAGATGAAGATGCGTGAGTCGAGTGTGGTCGATTCTGAGACGATTAAGCTTTACATCTGCATTACGTAAACGTAATACAGGTGAGGGGTCCATATATGGTTTGATGTTATAAAGTTTATTTTGGGTTTGAAGGTCCCAATGTTGTTGCCAAAGGGACAAGATGAGCTGTTGAACATGTAGTTTAATGTCTGAGAATGGTACAGATATTGTCAATTCAGTAGTTGCAGATTGTGCTGCAGAATCAGCCAACTCATTCCCTGGTATACCGACGTGACTCGGTAGTTAAAATTTCTGTGAACATGATATATAGAAAATTGGTGATATTTTATGCATACTTTGTGCATGATACAAAAGTATAAAAAAATGTATGCACTTTAAAAAAAAAGTTAAAAAAAATAATTAAGAAAGTTAATAAAACGTTCCCATGACCTCTTAAAAGGGTCATGGATACATTTAATAAGAAGGAAACATTTGATTGGAAAGAAACAAAAATATAAAATTTGAGGTATAAAAGTTTGCTTACAGATTCTGTAAGAGTTGGATCTTCAGGGCATTTGCTCATATAGAATGACTTAATTCCAGCAGGAAACCTACACAGCATAATAGGCTGCAACAGAAATGTTTAAGTCATTAATAATTTAAAGAACATTACTCATGGTTGATAATAGTGAAGAGAAAGATATATGTCTTCCAGAAAAAAGCAATTTTGTTCATCATCCATATTAATATTTAATGCAACATATATTAATATTAAAAAATGTTATAATAAAAACATTAGCTCTTACTTCATTTATTTGGTCAGTCATTTTTCTTTCAGGCATTTCAGGAATATCTTCCCCAAATTCATAAAAGGAACCATCTTCCTTTGTTATGTTGTGCTCCCGTAAATATTTGATAGCATCAGCATAGTTCATTCTACGAAGGGGCTTTTTAGGTGGTTTAAATTCCTATTTAGAAGTTAAAAAGTCATCTAAATAAACTAAAAACCTATGAACATTTCTTAAAAGAACTAAATAAATAATTATTTTTTTCTGGCAGCCACTCTTCAAAATAAACTGATAAGTCATTTTTTAAAATTTAAACACTAATAAATTTAATTCCATCTATTATAATATCTACTACTTAAGAACAAATTTCATATCATGTTAATGAATCATCAGTGGTGTCCTTATATATTTAATTTATTTAATAAAATGTATAAATGTACCATATTTTTCAATATCTAAGAATTCTCAAATTTTAAAAATAAAATTATTTTTTTTAACAGTTAACCAAACACATTAATAAGGGGTAAAATACCATTAAAAGTGTTGTGGTATAAAAAGACTAGGAAAAAGTGATGTACTGNACCTTTTATGTATGAACGTAATAAATTATAAACATTGCAGCAAAATAATTTCAATTGCTTTAAAATTGGAAAGATCAATTTCTGTGATTGATTGAATGTAGAAGTTTTATGGCACAAGATCCAAAGAAGGATATGCTGCATCAAACAATTTGTTGAGTTAGATCTAATGGTAAATTGCACACAATAGTTTCATTATCATAAAATAAACGAAGCTAATAAAATTGTTTATCTCAAGACACTTATTATTTTTAAAAGTTCGCAAAAATCAATAAAATTCGTAATTCTATAAAGTATACAGAAAAGGTAAAACGGTTCATGGGTAGGAAATAAGAGTGAATAAAATCAGATAAAACAGTTACATACAATATAAAATACCAATAGCTCGCAGAAATGCGAAAATGTTAGGATGATGAATATCATCTAACAAATCCTTCATACATAAAATCATGCTATTAAAAAAGGTAAGACGATGTTGGTTAAAACAAGGACAAATGGTTAAAATGTGATGAACCGTAAGTAAAGCATTGCAAGAGTTGCATTTGGGAGGAGATTCTCCAAACAATAGATGAAGATGTGTGAGTCGAGTGCAGCCGATCCTGAGACGATTAAGCTTTACATCTGCATTACGTAAACGTAATACAGGTGAGGGGTTTATATATGGTTTGATGTTATAAAGTTTATTTTGGGTTTGAAGGTCCCAATGTTGTTGCCAAAGGGACGAGATGAGCTGTTGAATATGTAGTTTAATGTCTGAGAATGGTACAGATATTGTCAATTCAGTATTTGCAGATCGTGCTGCAGAATCAGCCAACTCATTCCCTGGTAGTTAAATTTCTGTGAATATGATATATAGAAAATTGGTGATATTTTATGCATGATACAAAAGTATAAAAATTTAAAATAATGTATGCACTTCAGAAAAAAAGTTAAAAAAAAATAATTGAAAACAAAAAGTTAATAAAACGTTCCCATGACCTCTTAAAAGGATCATGGATACATTTAATAAGGAAACATTTGATTGGAAAGAAACAAAAATATAAAATTTGAGGCATAAAAGTTTGCTTACAGATTCGGTAAGAGTTGGATCTTCAGGACATTTGCTCATATAGAATGACTTAATTCCAGCAGGAAATCTACACAGCATAATAGGCTGCAACAGAAATGTTTAAGTCAGTAATACTTTAAAGAACATTACTCATGGTTGATAATAGTGAAGAGAAAGAAGTGTCAATATATGTCTTCCAATGCAAAAGCAATTTTGCATTGGAAAAAAGCAATTTTGTTCAACATCCATATTAATATTTCATGCAACATATATTAATATTTAAAAATGTTATAATAACAACATTAGCTCTTACTTCATTTATTTGGTCAGTCATTTTTCTTTCAGGCATTTCAGGAATATCTTCCCCAAATTCATAAAAGGAACCATCTTCCTTTGTTATGTTGTGCTCCCGTAAATATTTGATAGCATCAGCATAGTTCATTCTACGAAGGGGCTTTTTTGGTGGTTTAAATTCCTATTTAGAAGTTAAAAGAACTAAATAAATAATTATTTTTTCTGGCAGCCACTCTTCATAATAAACTGATAAGTCATTTTTTAAAATTTAAACACTAATAAATTTAATTCCATCTATTATAATATCTACTACTTAAGAACAAATTTCATATCATGTTAATGAATCATCAGTGGTGTCCTTATATATTTAATTTATTTAATAAAATGTATAAATGTACCATATTTTTCAATATCTAAGAATTCTCAAATTTTAAAAATAAAATTATTTTTTTTAACAGTTAACCAAACACATTAATAAGGGGTAAAATACCATTAAAAGTGTTGTGGTATAAAAAGACTAGGAAAAAGTGATGTACTGCAAAATATCAATTTAGCGTATACATTGGCACAGTGATAACGGCATTCTTTTCTCGCGATTGATCGGAATTCTGACTTAAGCAGGCGATTTAAGAAGACACATGTGATTGAACATCTGAGGATTATTGCCGACGCTGAATGCTGTTAATGTGCCTGGCGTAGACGATTTCGATTTTGTCCTGATGCAAAAATTATGTAGATTTAGTCTAGCTACAAAGACTATGTTTCATGATTTTCAATAGCAAGGTGAGAATCGGATCAGAAGTCACAGTTTTGTGCATGGAATCAGTGCCAGAATGTAGAATGCGACCTATTATTTTTTTATAAACTTTTTTTTTGTGGGATTATTCATTTCTTGAAGATTATTATCAGTGGGATTTCTATCACTTTGTGATCACGATGCATTATTTTGCCAGGAATTAATGTAAATTACTTCTATTTTGCAATCGTCATACATTATTTCATCACTATTCTTGTTGAGATTTGACAATGTCTCTTGCAAATTATTTTTAGAAGGACTTCTTTTACTTAGCAAGCAATGTGCATAATTTCGTTCTGAACTCAATCAATTTATGAAAAAATCTCAATTGTTTTTTGAACATTATTATATAATTAAGAATAGTTCTTTTAGAATTAAACAAAATCCAAATAAATTAAAAGAGCCATTTCAATACACTCACTGGATTGAATTCATAGACTAAATGTCCAATAGGTGACTTTAAAACTCTATCAACTACATCACAGATTATATTCTCTAAACGATCTAGAAGATCATCAAATGATATAAAAGGACATTCACCTTCTACGTGAGTATACCTGAAGAGAAAGAACATTTTGTCATTTAATTTTTTTCTCCAAATTATTTAATAAAGTAAACTTGGAACAAAGGATGAATACTTACTCAGCTACATGCCTCCTAGTTCTGGACTGTTCAGCTCTGTAAGACATAGCTATACAAAATACGTCGCCTAATGAAGGAATCACAGTTTCTAAATAGAGTTGTGAAGACTGTGTTAAATAAGCCTGAAATTATAGTAAAATTAAATGTAATCGATATTCAAAAGGAAAAATTTATAGCAATTATGTAGTATAATACGAACAAAAATCTTAGATCAATGTATGGCAATACTTTTCTTAAAAAAATAAAAATAGCTCAAATGAAAAATTAACCAGTATTCATTGATGGGATTTTAATCATTCAAAAACCAGTCTGCGTAAACAATGACAAATTTAAAAAAAAAAAAATAATGCAAGAAAAGTTACAAGAATAACACTTCCACAGGAAAAATACTTATTAAGTAATTAAAAATTAATAACTTTTCAAGCTTAAATATAGTTTTAATGTCTCCATTTACAAATACAAGAACAATCAAAATTTTACCACAGTATCTACCCATAGTTACCACTATTGTAGAAATATGTCTATTGCAATAGCAGGTGAAAATGCAAAATAGAAAAAATTTAATATATATACAATGGAATATGACTTTTTAAAACATTGATGAGTAACTATTAATATAAAAGCAATTAATATACTAGAAAAGATTTTTTTTTCTCAAACATAATACTCTAATGAAATACCTCTTCTCCAAAAAAGTCCAGTTTGAAAAGAGTTGAACCCCCTTCTACTTGAGTTTGGACCAATGTTGGGGGTGTAACTTCTACATAATTTTCGTGGAAAAAGTGTTGTCTAAAGCTCTCCAATAAGGTTGAGCGGACCTGCATGATTTTTGATAGCTACAAAAATAAAAGAAAACTTTGACATTAAAAAAAAAAATAAAATAATAATACATTCACATAACAGGTTTTTTACCCATTCTAAAAGAGAAAAGTTTAACATAAATACTTATTTATAGTTAATAAATTCTTACAATTCAAACAAAAGTATATTGTCGTTAATCAATCGTTAACACTCAATTAATAGTTAACGTCAATTGTTAACACTATCAATTAATAATTTAATTAACCCTTAGTATATTAAGAACAAAATCAAAGGCTTAATTTACAAAGTATATGTGTAAAACATTTCAACAATTTTTTAATGAATAGAAATTACTTTAAGCTTTTTCACCTGTCTTCAATAACGAAAATATGCTTTAAAGTTAATACATATTATTGGTATAAATCTTTTTCGATATCAATTTTTTATTAACTCTTTTTTAAAATTCTATTATTGTTAGAAATGATTCAGATATTTTTTTTATTTAGAAATGGAAACTAAACAATAAAAAAAAAAAAATCATTAAAGAAGAAAACCTACAGTCTCTCCACGAAGCATTAGATGGCGATTGTCTAATTGCACATCAACATGAGATTCCTATTTAGAGAAGGAAAAATAAAATTATTTAAATAATAATAATAAATGATAGTAATTAAAAAAAAAAGGTGTTAGATCCTTAAAATGAACACAAAGTTAATATTTTTTATTTTAAAAACAAATTAACACATAGTAAATATTTTATATTTCTAAATAAAGTAATTACCATTTAAAAATAGGTAATTATTTTTTTGTCTAATTGCGCATCAACATGAGATTCCTGTTTAGAGAAAGAAAAAGAAAATTTAAATTATTTTAAAGAATAATAACAATAAATGATTATAATTGTAGAAAATGTTTGAGGTCTTTAAAATTAACACAGAGTAAATAGTTTATATTTTTAAAAAAAAAGTATTTACTTGAATAGTTATACAAAAAATTTGTTTTAGGTCATAATATATATGAAACTTTTGACTCTTGTTTTCCTTCATGTAAATTAAATACAGTACAAATTTAGAAATTTAAATATGCATGTAATTAATGTAGTTAAACTTCTTTTTTTATTTAAAAAATTATAACAAATATTTTTTCCCTCAGATTATACACTATAATAAAAAGGTGATTCAAATATATTATTAGCTTAAAAAGTAAATGCATAATTTGGTTGTATTGAAAAATCGGAAAAAACATATATCTTTACAAAAACGTGTATGCAAAAGAGCCTTTATTTGATGGTTCAGACATTTACAATTTTTGATAATTATTTAACTGGAAACAAACGTTTTTAAATTAAATAATGTTTCAAACAAAGTAGAATGTGCAAAAAAAGTGGTTACCCAAAATAACTTCTTTACCTAATGTTCAGATTTTCAATTACCAGGACTAAATCTGGGAAATATAGTTTCAACAGTTTAGAGAAGAGAGCAGTCAAAAGTTTGGACTCCTTAATGTTAAAGTCACTTTTTACATTTTTTGCTATAACTCGATAAATTTGTAAGTGCATCAAAATTTTTTTTGCACCACAGCTAAAAAATTTGTTTATCCTAAAATAATTCCATTATCGAAATATTTTTTAATAGCTGTCCATTATTTTTATTAATTATTTAATAATAGAGAAAAAAATTTATTGTCAAGGATATGAAAAATTAGTCAAATAGATCCCGCAAAATCAAATTGTAAATGTACAACTTATTTAAAATTGGTTAACTTAGAAACTATTTAAACGATTTGGTTGATTATAAGCTACCCTGAAAGTTCATTTTCTGTGAGAACTGTGCATGTTTAATATTATCTGTCATCTAATTTTTAAACATGAATTTATAAACTAAAAGCTACTTTTTATAAATTTAACAAAGTTTCTTTGTACTTTTTAGACAATAATAATGAAATTAGACAGAATCATTTAATAATAAAACACATCTTTAGGACATCATTTGTAATAAGAAAAAAAATAGTGCAAAGATTTAAAGGCTCACTCCTTCCTAAAGGAAGAAATGAGTATTTAAATTCAATTCAAAAAGTTAAATTAAAAAAAATTGGCACAGTAACTAGTTTATATCGATTTAAGTTATCAAATATAAAGTTTTGAGTTGTCAATTAGAAAATCAGGGGTCTGTTAAACTTCAGACATTTTGAGAAAGGTCCTATTTTGTAAAATTGTGAAAAAACTACTCATAATTTGTGAATATAAAATGAGCGTTAAGTCACATTCATTCAACCAGGGTCCTGCTTTTGTGAATTTGCAAATAGAGTCCTTTTGTTGCAAAAATTGCTAAAAACCTTTGCAAAAAGTTTTTAAATTGTAAATAGATACAAGATTCTACTCAACAATTGCTGCTACTAAATTCGAGCTGCAATTTACAAGTATTTGTTATTTATTCTATACTGCTTGTCAGTCGTAACCTTTTACAAAAGAAATAACGCAAAATTCTACAAAAACTAATTCACCATTTTATTATTCTTTTTCATCCATTTTTCAAAAACCAAAACAAAACAAAAAATCATATCTATAATATCAAGCTTTTAGCTCGCAACATCAGAAAATGCGTGTTATTACATCACGTGACCCTGACAACATTCCCCCNAAATTCGAGCTGCAATTTACAAGTATTTGTTATTTAGTCTATACTGCTCAACACAGAAAATTCATTTCAGATGAATAATGGAAACAAAATCACTCACATTTTTAATAATTTCAATCGACATATTTTAAATAACACAACTTAGTTATGTATCACTTTTAATGTGTTGCGCATTTGGTTGTTTATCAATGTGTTGCGCATCTTAAATTTATAATATTTTATTTATAAAAAAATATCATTTAATATCAATAAGAATGTGCACGCAATATTTGTAAACATAGAAATATTTTCTTAGAATACTACATTTGGAATTTAAACTTAGAAAAACTTAGTTCGTTTCAAACCGCCCCCCCCCCCGGGGAAGAGTTTGCTCAATTAACAGAACAATAATGAAGATAAACAAATTTGTGAAGGGTTCGTCTTCATGAAAACATATTTTGTCAAGGGTCCGTTAACAAACCCAAATTTCTTCTAAAGAGACCCCTGAAAATTATACATATTAAATATTTTTTTTAAAATTATTTTGTGTCATGGTAAATTAAGAAATGATAAGTGTTAGATTTTTATTTGCCAATTTGAAATTACCATTCACATTAGATTTCAATTTTTAAATAACATTTTTCTATTTCTGAGAAATCAATATTTTTTGAATATTTGTATCAATTTTTTAAGAAATCAGGGTAAAAATAACCTCTATTTATGACAAGACTATAAATTAAGAAACATTTCTAAAAGGGTAGTTATCATTAATTTTCTTAAGGATATTACATACACTAAATATGATAAAAAAAATGCATTTCTAAATATCATGCATTGAAAATGCATTCTTAATATTATTATAAATCGTTATTACTAAGCATCAACTTTAGCCCAAAAATTATTTTATACACAGGTAATACATAAATATTGCTAAGTTGAAGTTATGTCAGAAGGGAGGTAGTTTAATATATTAAATATACAAAATTAGAAAACAGTATGTTAAGATGAATAAGACATATGTTAATCATATCTGGCATTATGTGCAGTCATTGATCAAATGCTGTCATTCTTAGATAATCAATTATCTTCTACAATATACAAATGACAAAATTTCCTCATTTGCATAAGGGTGATTTCTAATGAAATGATAAATTTCTGTCATGTAGATGGGCTTGTGCTAAGGCCAGCATATTCTCTAGTGAAATAACAATACATTTTTCTTAAATAAAAATAATCATTTCAACAAAAAGAGAAAGTGCATTTGAAAAGAAATCATACTTCGTTTAACACAGCATCAATTCCACCAGCAGGGGCTTCTCCAACTAATTGCCAATAATCACACTGAAGTTCGTGACCTCCAGGTGCCTAAAAAAATAAGTCTGTTTAATTTTGTAAACTAAATTTTGTATTTAAATAACTTTTCAGTTTAAAGTTTAGGAGAGACATAAATCATAGACTTTAAGCATTTTTTTCTAAATGGATGAAATATGTGTATAGTTTTTCATCTAAATCATACATATGACTTTTTACTTTTAGATATTCTTGCACAAATTATTATTATTTTTAATATAAATGTGGTAAAGTTGAAAGAAATTTTAGATAAGGATCATCTTCTTTTGATTATTCCAACAGAACCCACATATTTTGAATAAAATTTATTAGAAGATCTAATTATAAACTTACCTAATAATTCAATCTTCTAATTTTATCTGAATTTATTACATTGATATAGAACAAAGCAAATATAAATATTAATGAAAAATTAAAATAGGGTTAGCAAATGGAAGTCAGGCAAGTTATCAAGAAATTAGAAGCTAGATAAAGAAATGGGAATATGATACCACCACAACTTCATTTTAATTTAGATCTGATTACGGAAATTTAAATTTTTTAAACTAGTTTTTCTTATATTTTTATCATTAATTACATAAATTGATCACATTTTAAAACAGCTTAACAGGGTTCATGCTCTACTTTAGAAATAAAATTCAAGTACTTTTCAAGGACTTTTTAAGACTTATTATAAAATTCTCAAGGACTTAAATTTTAGTAAAAGATAGACTAAAATTTTACATTTTAAACTAAAATGTTTTGACGATAATAGTAAGTTGACGATAAATGTTAGACGATAATAGCCGTACTGAAAAATAAGACTTCCATTGCTCTCTTGATTTCGGAAAGTGATCAAGTATAAAAAAAGCAAGGGTGATTAGCATCAAGTCAATAATAAATTTTATGATTCATAAAAACGTCAGATTGGAATTTTGCACAAGGCCTATTTTAAGCTAGGTATACAACCTCTGAATAAGCAAAAATTCGGGCAGGACGGGGGGCGGATGTTCTATATAATACTGTGATATCAATTAGATATTTAATAACAACTCTGCCGGGAGATTTTTATTTAATATTTAAAGTGGCAGAAGCATTTAGTCAGAGAAATTTAAATTGTTCCTTAATATAATTTTGAAATTTTGACCACCTTTCTATTAAAGAAAATTAATCAATTATTGGATGTTGCGGCTTAATTATCATTTTAAATTTATTACGGGTCAACCATTTTAAATTAAATCAGTTGCCAACTTTCACCTCAATATCTTCTGATAGATTCTTACTAACAATTTTGGTCACTTTGACTGTTTTAATTAACCACTCATACTTGAATTAATTTTTTTCAGTAGCATCGATCATACGCACTTGACATGGTCACATGAACACGAATCGTAACAATAAGTTTTCAAATAGAGTATAAATACGAAAATCAATGTTTGATATTACAACATGGATGTTTGATGTTGCAAAATGCGTGAATACGAATAGCGACACTGGATTTTAAACTTGCGGAAAAACTAATCGCGATGTTGGGGTTTAAAAACGCTTAGGAACAATTCGCGATAGTAGATTTTTAAATTGCTTTAATGGGAATTGCAAGTACAATTTTTGAATCATGCGAAAACGAATCGCAACACATAGCTATTAAATCAGTTTAATACGAAGATCGATGATTGATATTAAAATTGCCTGAATCAGAATAGAGATTTTGTCAGAATCTGGCACAGTTCCCAATATTTAAAATTCCTAAAATCAGCCAAACATTCATAAAATCCTAAAATCAAACAGTACGTGTCATAATCTGAAAGGCGGGAAAGTCATTCTCTCACACTTACGTGTGTCAAAAAGTTAAACACAGAAATGCTGGAAATCGGGCTGTTTTCCTGAGTTTTCGATACTTTTCAAGGTCATTTTGAATTTTTCAAGGATTTAATATAATTTTCAAGTACTTCTAGGGGCCCTTGAAAATCAAAATGAAATTCAAGTACTTTTCAAGGTTTTTTCAAGGCCGCGGGAACCCTGGCTTAAGTGTATAGTATTAACTTTACTTTCTGAAAAGTACTTAGACTTGCCAACATTGGAGAAATAAAATAATGGAGATGTTACGAGGGACATATTTTAGGCTACGAGTGAAGCTTCAATACATCATTGTAAATTGGAAATAATATTTAGAGAAGTAAAAAATATGGATATAAATCTAATCTTATTATATATAAATACTTAACCATTATTTATAATTACTTAAACTATTAACACTCAACATACTGCAGTACTGACAATAGCATTATCTGTAGAGGAATAAGAAGTATTTTCGGCATCAGGGGATATTTTCTTGCCAAATTTTTAAATTTTTTCAACAAATACGGAGAACTTTGAGAATATATGAGTACACAGGAGATAGTTGTAAAATACAGGAGTCTTTGTTAAAAAACAGGAGACTTGACAGGTATGTCAGCATTTAAGCTGTTCATGTGGTAGTAGCAGTTTGCAAAAGTTTTCTTCATACACAATACTTACACTTTTACCATCTGGAACTTCATTTATGACACCATATACACAGATTGATGATTCAGTAGTTAAAACTAGAGCCTCATATGTTTGACACTATGGAAAGAAAAAAAATAATTAAAAAACATATATGACAGACAACTGCTACGGAAATTAAAATATGCATAGTACATACTAATAAATCATTTAGAACACATTGGAGAAAACCAGAACCATCTCTTAAAGTGATGAACATTAAAGCTTTTCCTGAAAGTAAAACAAACTATTATACAATAATATTTTTTAAACATAGACATATGAACAGAAATTTTATTTTATAGTAAAAATGGCTAAAAGAATGGCTATATGCTAGAAAAGGTTATAAAAAACCACCAAGGATTAATATAAAGTGAAAGAGACATTCACAATTATGAAGATTTTTACAGAGTCCTTTAACATATAAAGACAGATTTAAATTCTTTTTAATGAAAAATATTTGAAAATATTTTTTACTTGAATTATTTGGTAAATTTTTTTCTACAATTCTTTCCCATATTAACAAAAATAGATTTATAACATGAAGTTCGAGTGCATTTCGAGTCTTTGGCATTTTGAGTTTATAAAAATACCATATATATTAACTCACAATATTTACTGATCACTTTTTTGTATACCCTTTAAAGATCAAATATTTTTTTTAAAATGGAATTGATGTTCAAAATGATGAACATGATAAGGAAATTTTGACACAGAAATTAGGGAAAGACTCAAACTCAGGGTACCATATCTGGAGAATACGGTGCTCTTGTAACCGTATTTGATGAATGTCTTGCAAAAATCTAACACATAATACTATGGTGAGAAGGCACTTTAACATGATGTAAAAGTCGTAAGTTTATTTTTGACGCATTTCAGGTTGTTTTCGACCAATTGCTTCATGAAAATGTTATAAAACTTTCTAGTAATTATCTTAATGGATGTGTGGCTAGTATGTAGAAAATCATTTTGCAGATAATCAAAGAAAACACGCAACACCACCGAAATTTTGAAATGATTTTAGTGTGTTCTTATTGGTCATGCTTTACATATAAAGTGCCATTTACTTGATTGTTGAGTTGTTTCTGCATCAAAAGCAAAGATATAATTTTAATTATCAGTAATAATGAGTTTTAAATTTCTGATACCTCTCAGAAGCACTTCATTCCTGCCCTAAACTGTGATTGAGCCATTTCCACAACCATAGCTAGATTGAGGACCAAACACTTCGAGGGAATGAAAATATCTCTCAACGGCCATCGAAGCTACAGAAGTTGTCCTCACTGCATAGACACCGACCATATCTTTGATTGCCCAGCCATGCTGGCGAAGCACTTCAGGATCCATCTGGATCCCCCGCAGCAAACTCCTCGATTCCATATTATTGATGTGGTCAAAGCTGTTTTAAATTCTTTTGGACAAATTTAATTTTCCTTGCACTACTGGACAAGACAACGAGTTTTATAAGGAATTTTCAAATAGTAGTCTCTTCTGACTTGATTACTATGCTGATCATTAATCAAAGCAGATGGTCTACCATATTTCTCTTTATCTTTAAAAGATCTAGACCATCTTTCAACTTTTTGTGCTAATCAAATACTGTTGTTGTAATTTGTTTAGAAGCTTTGTGTAGCATTTTAAATGTTTTTATAGGAGATATTTCACAGTGAAAATAAAATTTAAGGCACATTCTTTACCCAACATTATTAATTCTGAAAATAGACACAATCAAAATTCCTCTCTCATTAAATAATCAATTATTCACAGTCGATAAAATAAACTTTATTTTTAAATGCTTATAGATGTCTTGAGAATGTTTGATAAAAGATTGGTAACAATATCTGTTACAGATTAACTCTGATACTTATTGATCTGTCTACTCTGATATTTCTGGTCAGAGTAGAACATCCTTTTAATAGATCTCAAATTGGCTTTAAATTATTGTAGAATTAAAAAATATTAAGCACTGCTTTTTCTTGGAAACAGAATAACAAGATTCCATTTCTAAATGCTCTAAATCCGGTTTCTTCAACTTAGATATTGCTGAACCCTAGGGTATCCTGGGACTTTGACAAGAGTTTTGGAAGTGATCACTATTTACGTAATAAAAATCACTAAAATTTTGGAGTAATTAATAATAGTGAAAAAACAAAAACAAATTAGCTACCTTACCATCCATTATCAGGATATTTGAATTGTGATAAAATAACAATACAAAAATGATTTTGTAAATTTGAGTATTATAAAGCTTTGATATCCCACTTTTTCTGGCCTTTGATCAAATCTTTCTTCAAGAAAACCGTAAGCTCAATGTGTTCCCCTAAGTGTAAAAGGCTGAATACCCTTGTTCTAGATCTTAATCCTCATTTTTCATCATTATCAATCAATTTGTTGTTGTTGTAATAAGTAAATATGCAAAGTTAAATATAATTATAATACATAACTTTTTAATATTTCAACTATCAAACAAATAATATAAAATCAAAAAACAGACTTGGCTGATGGCCATAAAAATGCATGACACATAAATATTTTAATGTTTATGACACACACATTCCTAAAAATAAATCAATTTGCCATATAGCATCGTAATTGATTAAACAGCAAGTTATCTGATACCTTTTACTGCGTTCACAGAATACTTTAGTGTACAGACATTAGTTGAATTGAGAAATACATTTGGAAGTAGCAGACATTACTAAAACTAGTTTAAGCTTTCACTACTATATAGCATGTCATAACACAGAAGCAATGTGAAAATAAATAAAGCATTTTCTTAATTGTCCATTGTGGTGAGGGGGTCATGAGGTTATGGTCCTACTTAGTGACTAATTGTATGATTGTGTGACAATGTGGTCAATATTTCACATAGGCTGTCCTTACTTCTGAGACAAGATAGTACACATCAATCTGAAGCCGGGAGAGCTTCAAGCCGCAACTAAGAACCAAACCAGTCTCTCAAAATACAGTCAGCACAAAAAAAAAAAAAAAAAAAAAACAACCCCTACCTTGTTCACATTAAGCTTTCTTTTTTCAAGATAACGCAGTCAAAGGTTATTCCAGGCTTATTGCGAAAAGTCTATACACAATTTTGTGAAAGTTAAATATTATTTTATAATTTTATGAAAAATCACTAAAAACCAATGGCCTGTTAAGATTGTTTGTGAAAAATTATCTCATAATATTCTAAATATAAAATTATTGAAGAATCAGTTTCCTTGTGCCAGAGTTCTGTCTTTGAGAATGTGTGCAAATGAGGTCCGATTTTTAAGGGTGGAAAACACATTTTACAAGGAATTAATAGATTAAAAATTATAAACTAAAAAGCCAGCCACCCCATTTTTTTAATAAGAATTTTATGAAGGTCCATTTTAAAAACAATGTATGATATGAAATGATAGATTTTTTGCAAAGCGTCTAATATTACAGTAAAAGATTTTGTGAGGAATCTGTTTTCACAATAAATTTAAAGAGAGATTTGTTAATGGAAAATCTTAAAATGAGATTTAACGTAATGTTTTACATTAAAAAAAAAAAAAAAGCCTTCATATTAAAATATTAATATTAGGAATATCTTTCATAATAGATCATGATGATTATTAAAAACATCTAATATTTCAATAATCATTAGATTTCTACATTTTCTTAAGTAATTGCTAAATAATTTTGTTTTGCTTAGAAGGTTACTGCGAAAAATCATTCATATTCTGAGAACATGAGTAATTTTTTCACAGTACACTTCTAAAATGAGCATTAGCACTTTTTTACATAAGTAATTTTTTTCCCTTCATCTGAAAGAATATTTTGTACTATACATACAAAAATTAACCTGCGGTCAAAACATTTTGATCTATATAGTAAATCACATGTGATAATGTTAATTATGGCAAAACACAATATTAATTAAAATTAATATTTTTAAAAACTGAAAAGATAGAAAAGAAGCATCTATTTCTTTTTACCTTGTCTTCTTATCCTATGGGCCCAACCATAAACTTTAACTCGTTTGCCTCGATGAGAAACACAATCTCTTATTTTAGTCTATCAATGAAAAAAAGATAAATATATAATATAAAAATTTTACAAACAATAAACTTAATTGCTTAATCACAGAAGTCAGATTATATGCAGGAATACATAAATAACTAGATCAAATAGCTAGATTTAAAAAAATCTATGTACTTTTTCATTCTATTCTTCAAGTTAAAATGCTGAAAATTTAAAAGAAAACAAGATGAAAAAAATAAATATCTATGATAAGTAGAAAATAATTTGCTTATAAATAAATAATTTTTTGTTTAAAATAATACTTTGATCAACTGCTTTAAGAAAAAAAGTACACATTGTATTTGTATAAGACATGAGCACATGCAAGGAACAGCAACATTGCCGCTGCAATGGCGCTAATAAGAAACGACACTTTTCGTACACGTTATACATTTAACTGCAACATACACACAGAGTTTTCTGCACTAAAGCATACATGCATCATAGCATAAATTTTTATCGATGACTTTGGAATACAAAAACTAATAACAAAACTTAATAAGTATGTGGATAAATAGTATTTATGTGAAAAAAATTAAACATTAAACAGAAAATTTCTATTGGGCTTCCATCATTTAATAGTAACATTTGAAGCTAATATTAGTTATTTTAATTGCATTTTTCTGACATGCTATATAAGTAGATGCATATCAACCAGTAGACAAGCACAATTTTTTAAAAGGGGTTAATTTATGTTGAATGCATACTACAGTATAATAGCTACCTATAGTTAGGAAATAATAATTCTGGTATTTTTCTACTTATAGTGAGTCAAATATATCCCAGCCAATGTTAGGGGTTATATCGATTAGGATCTACAATAGAAACTGATAATTGCCAACAGATGATCGGAATAACTAAGAATAAAAAACATAAACAAAGACTTTACTACCAAAACAGGTTTAGGTAAAGAATCATCCATGGTGATGATTATTTTCTTTGCTTCTTCAAGATTTTTTTCCTTCCTTTCGGCATCACCTTGTTCCTTAGCAACTTTCTCGGCATTCTTGTATTGCTCCCTTTGCCAAATTTTCTTCACTTTCTTTATTTGGGATTGTGATACCAACTGCCACTTCTAAAACAATATTATTTCATTAAAACTGTTAATATTTTAAGAAGTAAATGAAAATAAACAAGTAAAAGGTAAAAGCTATGTTTGAATCATACCTCACCATCTTTGTTTGATTCAGCATAGAAACTTGGAAAAGGTTCCTTACCAGCAAATCTCATAGCCTTCAAAAATTAAAAATAAATAATGAAGCACCAAAAATAAAAAATGATAAAGAATTCTGTTAATTGCATTAGGTCAATCGGATTTTCATGACTCACAAAACATGAGCAACAATTTTATACATTATGATAGTCAATTGATTTATTGTCATTATTAATAAGATTCGAAATAGATAAGAGCTTGGAGAGAAAATTAGTTTAATTTAGGGGTGCACAACCTGCAGCCCGCTGGCCATATGCGGCCCTCCGACCACTGAAGTGCAGCCCGCGAGAGCTTTTGAACTCAATAAAAAATAAACAAAAATTTCAAATATAAAAAATTTCTAAAATTTTTTTATCGCACTCTTGAGTCATCACATTTTGAAGCTCTCAATTTTTATTGATTCTATAGCAAAATGTATGTGTACCGCGTTTTCTTTAAGCCGATTTTATCATAAATCAAAATGATTTTTTAAGCACTTATTTCCGCTTTTCAACATAATTAGAAAATCCTGAATTTTTATAACGATATTATTATGACACACAAGTTTCAGATCACCCATTTAAATAATCACTTTTTGGCAGTTCTTTCTTTCTTTTTTTCAACAATTTTTCTTGGGCAGTTATTGCTATGCATTCCCACGTAGTTTAAAAAATTCAGATAATTTTACTAGGAATTTTAAATCGCTCATTTCACACTCTTTATTCGTGCTGAGTTCAGCATTAATTTAAGTGATTTTTTTTTCCAATTGTTATACTTTTCCAGGTTATCATTATTAACTGCAATGTTATTACCAGAGACGAATTTCTATTCGCACATTTAAATAAACACTTTTTGATGTGGTACTTCGGTTACGAATTTTAATAAATCTATTTTTGATGAGATAAAAATGGAAATTATTTTTTAAGAAGTATTAGTTTTTTCATTTTTGACCGAGATCTAATAATTGAACACTTTAATTTTCTACAAATATATTACTAAGTTTATTGATAAAAAAAATTAGAACACTAATGTTTAAATACATATTACTACATTTGCCATTAAAATGTCTAAATATATATGCGGCCCTTCGTTAGTCAACCTGCTGTGCAAGTGGCCCTTGAATCAAAAAGGTTGTGCACCTCTAGTTTAATTACTTTACTTTGAAGATTTTTATTAGAAAAAAGTTTATATAATGCCAATAAGAAAAAACACTTTTAAGGTTTAATAAAACATTTCTAGAAACTATTCCTAGAAACCAAAATCCTAGTTAGAAAATAAGTTATACATATCTTTGAATAATTTAACAAGGTTCATAAACCTGAAATTCTACACTTCTAAGGATACTATCATTGATAAAAATTAAAACATTGCATAAAATTGAAAAAAAAAATGCAAGATTTCTTTTTATAAAATTAGCTTTTGAATCCCACAGTTTCAGCTAGCAGAAAGAAAATATTTAAACTAACAATATTTTGACTTCCAAAATTAAGCTACAGTTTTGTTTCTGTAATAAAAAAATTGTAAAAGTTAAAAATTCTTTCATAAATTGATAAAAAATCACATATAATTGCAATTTGGTATATATTTCTACAAATATATATTTGTAGAAAATAACTACCTTTCTTAAAAAAAATTATTGCTGAATAATTTTTTTTTTGATCTGGGGTTTGAATACAACACAATACAGAATACAGCTCTGCTAACACAAAATTTGAAACACAATAGTTATGCATTTTGCATAAAACAAAAATACAATTTATGCATGTGTAAAACAGAAAAAACAAACAATTAATTACCTGAAGAAGAGTTTTGAATGGTAATTTTTCAGAACCGTCACCAGAATCATCATTACCACTCTCGGCTATATAAATTTCCCCTATAAAGCACATAATGTAATGAAATTAAATTCCAAACCTAATAAATTTTTGCATACAAATTTTTAAGCTACAAATGTGTACAGAAGTCCATTTAAATTTTTCTTTTATTTCTAATGGCAGAAATTTAACAATACATACAAAATATTGAAATAACAAAAACCATAATATAAATTGTCATTTTCTCAGTTTTTCCTTCGCTTCTTGTAATCCCTTGGCAACAGATATTTGCTTAAAAGTACTACAATGGAGAATATGGCAACCATCTTGAACAAATTGGTCACAATAGATAGATCAGTATGACTCAGGAACCACATTTAAATCAAGGTAGTGACGATATGAGACTAAACAGTCATGTTCTAAGAAGATTGAGAACTGAGCCACATCCTCATGAGGTGGCCAGTAAGGAATGGTTTTTAGTCTGAAGTCTTTCAAAATATAGTAAATAATTCTTTTCTTTAATAGCAGATAAAAATTTTCTAGTTATAATTTATATCTAAGATGAAAAAGAGATCTAACTAACTCCTTGGTAATACAGTTCATGTTGGACCATGACCTCACTAACAATTTTCCTCCAAAGTCGCCTGTCTCTAGCTCTTTGTTTCCAGTTTCGGACTTTCAGAGTCTTAAGATCTTTTTCCACCTCGTCTAACCATCTCTTGGCTGGCCTTCCTCTTTTCCTTTGGCCCTGGCACTGCCCCTTGAATATCTTCTTAGTGCCTCTGTTTTCCTCCATTCTCTCAAGATGTTATAGCCATTGAATTCTCTTTGCTTTAACATAATTTATTATATCCTTTTCTTGAAATAGTCTTGAAATTTCAAAATTGTATTGCCTTCTCCACAGATAACCCTCTTTGACAGGTCAAAAAATAGTTCTAAGAATTTTTTTCCCCCAGGTAATCAGTATTTTTTCTTGTTTCTAGGTTGGAGTTCATGTCTCTGATCCATAAATAACGGTTGGTCTGATTATAGTTTTATAAACCTGAAGCTTTGTTTTCCTCGTTATTACTTTTGATGTTAGCAATCTCTTAAGTGCAAAATAACTGCGATTTCCAGCATTTAGTCTTTGCTTAATCTCTGGCATAATATCATTGTTTTCAGTGACAACTGAACCTAAGTACTTAAATTCCCTAACTCTTTCAAATTTTGTCATTTCATTAATTTGTAGTTCTGTGTCCATATCCGTTCCTTTACAATCCATTATCATGCATTTGGTCTTATCAATATTTATTTCTAAACCAAAAAGACTAGCTTCTTTGGTTAAGTCATTAAAATGGTCAACAAGTGCATTTTCACTTCTTGCTATCAATATTACATCATCGGAGAAAGAAAGGACTTGTTTCATTCTATTAAAAATAGTACCTCCTCTATTTGATACTGTGTTACGCATCACTTTTTCAGAGATCAGGTTTATTTTAAATTGTAGTCTGGGTATTCCCTTTTAGGGCTAATCTATTATCTTTCGTATTTCCCATACTTTTGCAGTGGTACACTAGAAAGAGAGGATACATTGAAGAGTGACGGTTCTAACCAAATGATGAAATTTATAAATTAAGTTTTGGCGTAAGTTGTTTTTCCTCCCTTTACTTTCTTGCCATGTTAAAAAAATATCTTTAACTCTTTATAAATTACACTCTAGTTCTCTTTCCCAATAGAAAAGGTTATTTATCAATTGCCAGTTATTGTGGCATGCTTAAGCATGTTAACAGATCTTTCCAGTGGGGGTTGTAAAGAAGACATTGTCATCGTCACTCACCTTTTATTTAGTTACTGTCAATGAATCAAAGTTTCTAGTTTTAAGAAGGAGGTGAATACTGAAGTAAAACAGCTTTACAGTACAAAAACAATTTTACGGCTTCTATGCCACATTTTGTGATTGCTTTAAGAATTTTTTTTACTGTTCCTGTCACCATTACTATTGCAGAATGCTCATCTTTAAAACTGAAAAAAAAAAAAAACAAAAAAAAAAAACACACATTTGAGATCAACGATGACTAATGCCAGCCTTTCTCCTTTGCCTCTCATATCTATTGAGAATGATAAATCAACTTCTTAAGATTTTTCTGTTTTCATAAACAATTTTGCTACTCAAAAAGCTAAAAAAATTGCATTATAATAATTTATTCATATTTTTAAACAATGTTCTAATTTTTTCCTTATATTTGCCAAATCTTGGATATAATTTTCCTATTTCAAGGATATATTATTCCTACAAATTATTTCATTCGTATTTCTAGATATAATTTTCAGTTAATGATCCTTTATATCAAGAGTGTATTTTTTAAAATAATAACAAGAATTCAACTTCGGTGTCATAGAAATTAATTACATTAAAAGTTTTAATTATTGCTCAACTGTGACGACATGGAGTGCAATCCCTAAGAACTGCCACAGACAATGTCAAAAAAAGTAAAAAGCAAGGATTGCATGATTAAAAAACATTTTACGTAAAAAAATCATTGATTTAACTTATACAGTAACTGCATAATCTAATATGTATATACTTATGGGCTGCGATAATAAATCACTGATATAAAAACTCATTGACAATAAATGCTTTCTTTTTATAATGAGAAATAAGTTTATAAAATAAAAAGTGAAATAAGATTTTTTTTTCTGTTCAAGAACAAGAATGTAACTTTTTAATGGTAATACTACTTCATTATTTTTTTCATATTTTAATGAGCTCATTTACAAATAATTTGATGTTTCCTTATCAGTAAATATATTTCAATTATACAAATTTATTTTATATATATTTACTTTTATACAAGTAATTTTCAAATTTTCAATTTTATTAAATATGCAGCAATGTAATATGGATGTAATGCATACTTGTAATTAAAGAATAAAGACTTGTTCTGTCAAGAATAATTTAATTTAAAAATGCTTTCTGATCTAAATTAATTTAGTTTTCATTTGACACACTGATACATTAAGGTTTTGAGTTTTAAAGAAAATATTAACAGATTTAATTTATTCAGTAATTTATTTGCCATAATTAAATAATAATATTTACCTTTTTATTATTAGTGGTGTTAAAAATCTTAGTTGCAGTATTGTTGTTAAATAATATTAAGTATTATTCATACATTTTATTATAATTTTGATCATTGAAAGATAAAACAATTAAAAAAACTGATTGAATTAAAAAATGTAATACTTAATATATATATTTTTAAATAAGATATGATCAACTTTCTCAATGTTTTGCCCTGGGCCGCTAAAACCTTAAGTGTGCCCCTGCAGGGAAACAGATATTTGCAGTTCACAGGACAAGCAAATTTTAAATAGAAGTGAGAGTATGTGCTTTTCAAACAGATGCAATCTGAAATTTTATTTGAAATCAAAGGAATTAGTTCACTTTCAGTCTGGAAAGACGAGCCTTAATTTTTATACTTCTTGTGAAAAATTTCAGTAGCCTACTTTTAGGCTCTGCTGAGGATCTATAAATACATCTAATTTTCTTTTTAAATATAGACTCATGTGTATGATACATTTGTAGAAATTTATGTCTATATATGTGTTAGACACATGTAATAATATCATAAAATTAGACTCACGTAATGAAGCACCTTGCATGTCGTCTTCTAAAGTCATTTTTCAGATAATAGGTAGATAATTAAATTTTCTTGATTTAAAACTAAAATAAAAATTTTAGAATCAGATTGACACAATAATACTAGATAGAAAATTATAAAAATAGATACATATAGATTCGAAAACTATAAGGCAAATATATAAAACTATATAGACAGGTACAGCATAATTATTTGTATTTTATCCATTTGGCATTTCATCTTGAAGAAACCGTAAGAAACTGGACAAAATAGAAGAAATTGGATGAAACTAAAAATGACTAATGCGATTGTTTAGCAACAGTTGTAGGGTTCAAACCAGTATGACGACATGGCAACAATTGTCGCCAAACGTTTTACATATGTCGCTAAAATCATATGCATGAGTGACAAATTTATCACCTTAAAACGTTTAGAGTTTACAAAATAATAACGAAAAATTGTTTTCTGATAAAATTATTGTATTAATTTTATTATTTGAAGCATAGAACTCAAATTGTAGTATTCAAATGGAATAACTGAAAGTGTTTGGTACAAATTTTTTGAAAATTAAATTTTGAAATTTCAAATTTAGATGTTGTGCTGTGCTTTGCAATTATGTGAACAATATATTTGCTCTTACATNATTATTAAATATGCTTCCTTAAACACATTCACAAATTTTTCAAAGTTTTTAAATGTAACAACCGTAGTGTTTTTTGCACTAATGACTTCTTCAAGATTACTTAACAAAAAAAAAGAAAAAAAAAAAAGCTTAAGAAAAAAAAAAGCCTGGGGCACCTTTCAACACTGTTGAAATGTGCCCCCTGAGCTCTGTTGAAATCTACCCCTGGTACAGATATTTTGGTTAAAGTGTCACCAACCACTTTAGAAAAATAGTTATTGCTAATAAATACAGTTAGAAGCAGAATTAAATAAACTAGTGGATGAATAAATATCACTTACCTTATTAAAAGATTACTGATTGATAAACAGTTTCAAAATCAGAACTGTATTTTTACTTTTGGAATGTTAAAACTTGTTCTATAGAATAAAACAACAGTGGTAAAAAGAAAGAACTAAATACTAAATGTCAGCTGTTATGCATAATTAAAGCTTATCGGCTGGCATATTGGCCAATCATTAAGCAATATTAGAAGGGAGAAATTCTAGCTGTTGAAAGGTGCCCCATGTTGAAATGTACCCCCCTCTCCCCTATGATACATTTGTAGAAATTTATGTCTATATATGTGTTAGACACATGAAATAATATCATAAAATTAGACTCACGTAATGAAGCACCTTGCATGTCGTCTTCTAAAGTCATTTTTTAGATAATAGGTAGAGAATTAAATTTTCTTGATTTAAAACTAAAATAAAAATTTTAGAATCAGATTGACACAATAATACTAGATAGAAAATTATAAAAATAAATACATATAGATTCGAAAACTATAAGGCAAATATATAAAACTATATAGACAGGTACAGCATAATTATTTGTATTTTATCCATTTGGCATTTCATCTTGAAGAAACCGTAAGAAACTGGACAAAATAGAAGAAATTGGATGAAACTAAAAATGACTAATGCGATTGTTTAGCAACAGTTGTAGGGTTCAAACCAGTATGACGACATGGCAACAATTGTCGCCAAACGTTTTACATATGTCGCTAAAATCATATGCATGAGTGACAAATTTATCACCTTAAAACGTTTAGAGTTTACAAAATAATAACGAAAAATTGTTTTCTGATAAAATTATTGTACTAATTTTATTGTTTGAAGCATAGAACTCAAATGCGTAGTATTCAAATGGAATAACTGAAAGTGTTTGGTACAAATTTTTTGAAAATTAAATTTTGAAATTTCAAATTTAGATGTTGTGCTGTGCTTTGCAATTATGTGAACAATATATTTGCTCTTACATATTAACAATATATTTGCTCTTTTAAAATTGCCTTTTATAACTTTTCATTTAAGTTTTTTAATTTCTAGATAATTAAATTTTAATATTAAAATATTTTGTCAGCTCTTAGTTTCTCTCTTTTTCTTATTTATTTGGTCCATTTGGTATTACCATTTACCAGGGTTGGCAGGTTTTTGACATGTGACAGTTTAAACCATGGTTTAAACCGTCACGTCAAAAACCTCACNTTACCAATATTATTTTAGCTTTCATCACTTAATTTTAATAAATACTAATCTGAATCATTATGTGATAATTAACCTAATTAGTTATTATACTTATATAGATGGCAATAAATATTTTTTGATGTGTACCATAACATGAATTATGTAATTGCAAAGTTCGATTTTTTTCTTCTTCTCAAGCTTGTCCTCTTCATTGAATTCTTGGACTGCTAAATGAATACCTAAGTGGTCCCATTGGATCACTAAATTTTCTTTACTGGTTTGAACCCTAACTATAAGAATATATTAAATTTAAACAAATTATATTTAATATAGCACCAGAAAGTTGATAGTTCTTCACATCAATTTTGGTACTTTTCGGGTAGCTGGAGACAAGCTCACCAAAAATCAGGGTTCGCCAAGTGGGCCCACTTTGAAAAAACCCGCCCGGGTNAACCCTGCCAAAAATATAGACATTTGCCAATATTTTTTTTACTATTTTTTATTTTATATTTCCTTTTAAAAAATTGAACATGGACGTTCACAAGAAATTAAATAAAATCAAAAAAATATTTAAAAAAAAGTTTATTTTCCTTGCGACTCGGTAACTAAAAGTACCCTACCGTTTAAAAAAAAAATCTACTTTCCTCTAATTTATTTTAGTTGTATATAAACATTTTAAATCTATATGTCATATTATTTAAGAGTACATTTGAGAAATCACATGTAACAGTATTTGATTATAAAGAGTAGTAGGTTATTTCTTGTATTTGTAAACTCTATATATGATTTGCTAAAATTTAAGTATTTAATAAGAAATTTGTTAAATTAGAAGAACTAAAAAAATTTGATTATGATACATTAACAGATGAATAAATAAATAAAAAACTAAGCTTTGTTTCTCTCATTTAAGCAAAACAAGGCAAAGAGTTATTTTAATTTTTATTTAAGAAATTAATCTTTCATTCTAGGCCAGTGGTTACCAACTAAAATACATTAGTTATTATTTTTTTTGCAGACAATTTTCGTAAAAAATCTATACGAGTTTAAAATATTTTTCTTTCATTAAAAAAATCTAATTTCATCGTTTCTGTGAAATTTAACATACTAATGGTGCAAAAAAAAATTTATTTCTCAGGTTTTGCATCCAAGAAAATATTAATTATTTGTAATCCAATACTTTTGTTTTTTACAACTTGATAAAAATCTGACAGTAATATTTAATGTTCCTTCAGACATAAAAGATTCCTACATAAAATTTTGATAAAGCTGCAGCTCGCCATTTTATTGGTGTTTTTAATTGAGGCCTCTGGCCTCATGCAATTTGGAAATCCCTGTTTTAGATGTTTATTAGTTTCTCCGTAATTAAAAAAAATGTTTATTAAATATCTTGGATATTAATATTTTTAATTGATTGAAACTATATATTTTTTTAAAATTTGTATTAATATTTTCCTTTAAAAAGGAGTTACTGCCATTCTAGTAGAAACTTGGAATGCAAAGTTTCATCTGTAAAACGCTAGTTTATGCTTAGGTATAAAACACAATTATTCAAAATGATAATTTGAAATGCAGTTTAAAAGTAATCGAAAACAGCGTATAAATCTTGTCATTAATAATTTAATTCTTCGCAACAGTAATCCAATATTAGACAATAGATTTAATATCAAATATTGTGTTTTAAAATTATTTAAACAATAAAAATTAATTGGGGATATAATAATAGTACAAATTTCTATGAGGAATATAATAATCGTAAATAGTATAAGAATAGTTATAAAGAATATGCATCAGTGTCCCTAAGTAAACTTAGGTTAGGTTAAGACATATATAAGGTTAAGACATATTTAGATTCTTAAAGCCGATTGGAAAATTAACGAAAAGTAAAAGAAAATTTACATAGAGATTTGCATAAAAAGATGCAGAATACTTTCTACTTACTTTCTACAGATTAATAACAATAAAAAAACAAAACCTTAAATGTTTAAACAAAATTATTCACTAATAGTCTTCTCTTTATTGGTCCATTTATAGCACCAATCTAAAAGAGATCTGACAGCCCAGAAAAATAAAAAATAATACGATATGAAATGATGAAATATTAACTTGAGTTACCTTTATCAGTAAATTGAAACTGCAATAGCCTATTATTGCATCAAAATTTTGAAATTCAAGTTGACAAAATTTTAAGTATTGTTGCAGAAGACAACACGATGAAGAAGTTAAGTTTAGTTGTAGTTAGGGCCCTTATTGTAATTGAATTTTTATACTCATAACTCAAGCTCTACTCGCGATCACAACAAATTATAGACGGCGTTGTGGTATGAGACGAATACCTGCGATTTCTATATGAACAGTTATTCAGTTTCTCTGGAGATGTCTTTAATGTAGCGTGTAGCATTGTGACGTTCCTTCTTTATTGTGACATATTAAATTTAAAAAAGAAAAATGTTTGATATTCTTTCTTTTGCAAACGAAAACAAAATGGCATCTCTTTTTTTTTAGTGGAGGAACATCCAAAACAAATCGGAAAAAATATTTGTAAATAAACAGAGAAAAATATGTATCTTCCTATTAGAGTTAAAATCTAATGCCTGAGAAATAGTTTTACTAAATTTAATGATATAACATAAAAGGCCTATTTAAACTTTATATTCCATAGTTTTAAGAATCATATTACTTCAAACATTAAAATAAGCGAAAGTATACATAAGCATCATAATTTTATGTAATTTAATTTAAAGAAAAAAGTTTTTTGACAATAATTTTTATCAAAAAATTTTAAGTTTCAATAAAAATCATTATTGAAACTTCTTTATTTTACCTTTTTTAATTCTATAGAAACTAAAAAAGGTAAAATAAAGAATGCTTATGGGAAAAAAATTTCAAAAATTCCTCACATTAAAATAAAAGACTTTAATGTTTTCTTTTTTTTAAAATTTTTTATTTTTACTTATTTATTTTATTTTTTTATTCATAATCGGACGTAGAAAACCCTTCTATAGAAAATTATCATCAAATAATCCTGGATATCATATCTTTTGGATTTCTTGTTGCTTGCTGATTTTTGACGCCATTTTTCAGTGCTACGAAAATCCGTCTTTGGGATTTGCGAAAAACATAACAAGATGCAATTTCATTTTTTCAGGAGTGAAATATTTTACCAAATAAATAAAAATGCCCCAATTCCCATGACACGAAACTTTATCTTGGTAAACGTCCGTTTTGGAAATGCTGTTTCATTTGGAATCTTATTTATTACAGTTCATATGGCGACAGCATCAGGTGAAAGAAAATAGAGATTGTTTTGAATCCATGTTAAACTCTATATCGGCTATGTTTGGCGTATTCTGTTTCTGAAAGATTTACCAATGTTCTGGAGAGTTTTTTCAAGTTCTTCTGCCTTTTCTTTAGGGACATTTTGCTGCTTAGAAAATGACGTCTGACTCTGCTAATGATTCTGATGGAACTAAATGAAAACTTAATAAACGACTGATATTTTCAGGCTCCCGCCAGAGTGCGTACTCAAGCGTTGCGATCGCGAATTCAAATTAGCAAAATTTTATTTTCTTATCATTTGCAAGGATTTGTTCGCTATCGCAACTCTCAGATATGCCATCTGGGGAGAAAACCGTATCCATGTTTTTACCCTTCTCTCTCTTCCTCTTCTAAATTGTATGGGAATGTACAATTGTATTTTTCTCATCCATAATATTTTCGTATTTAACTGTCACAAATTTCCATGATGCTTCCTTTCAGAACTATATTTAATGCATTTTTCAGTTCCATATAGTTTCCCAACTTAAAAGTTTTTAATCTATTTGAAAATTAAGACAGAGTTTAACTTAGTTCCTTCTCCTATAACAATGGAATTCCTTCTCTATAACTTAGTTCTTTCTCCTATAACCATAAAGGGAAAAACATGTAAAGTGTTGCCATGTATGGTTTACTGAATGTAAACAATAACAAGCTTCCTAAAACCGGAAAAGTTCAGAAAACTTCCGGTGTGTCACTCTGCTTATGGTATGCTTACAAGGTGATGTGTGAACACAGGCTTAATATTCTGGGAAGCTTTATTATTGTAATTTATGTTTAAATTTATGCGTAATTTCAAATTTCATAGGATATTATTCATAAGACATTCATAAGATATACACCTAATTTCAACATTGAAAAAGTTCCCTGGCATTTATAAATTTTATCTGATTGTGAGTCTAAAACAAATTTAAGAAAACTAATATCAAAACATAAATAAAGTGTAAGGTTTAACATGTTTTGAGTGTTATCCCTTATTTGGCTATAGTTGTTCAAAATATCACCGTTTGTAATTTTTTGAGTTGCATCACAACATGCTTGCGGAGTTTTCCGAATACTTTTGTTGCTTGTTTCGTTGAAATTTAAATTGAAAGAACACGCTATATTTTAAACAAGTATTATAACTACAAGTATTATAATATTGGATAGCGTGCTTTTTCAAGCTTAAGCTTAAAAATCAATAGAAAGTAGTAACCCAGAAATCTTACGATAAATTTTAGCCTATGGAGCAGTGATTGCCAAAGTGGTCTACATCGATCCCTAGGGGACGAGGACAACCTGCAAGGAGTCAATGTCAAGAGAAGAAAAAAATTGGGGGTCCATAAAATGAAAATGGGGGTCAACGACAGTGGGTCTCATATAAGGAGGTCGTGACTTTAATTTTGGCATTTCATGAATGGAATAATCAATATACACTGATAGTACCTATTTACTTAAATTATACTACCTTATAATATAAAGACATATNCAATTAATACTAATAATATATTGGATTTTTTGTTAGTTAAGAATAGTTAAGTTAAAAATGTTACAATTGACCCCACTCTCCCCTACCTATTGACTTAAATTATACTACCTTATAATATAAAGACATATATCTATCTACATTACATAATTTATAAAAGTAGCTATGAAGTAAAAATTTTATTAAAATTTAAGTTATTAGGATTATTTCCTGATTATATGAAGCTGAATTATTATAAACTAGCAGTTAGCTGCAGCTCCGCCCGCGTACGTTTTTATTTTCTTTGCGTGTAAGGTTTTATTTTGTAACAAAAAAACCTTTTTCCGCGGTAAATTCATTTGAATTTAATTAATAAATGTGTAAAATGAACAAGAGTTTTTTCTTAAGTTTTTCACACTACACTTTACTACAGTTAGAAATTTAAATCTTTCACAGTGAGTAGCATTATACCAGTTGTCAAAAACACATTTGAAGTTGATGAATTTACAAAAAATCAATATCAGGTAAATAGGGGGTCTACCCAAAACCGAATAACATAGCAAGGGGTCAGCGAGACAAAAAAGTTCAGGAATCAAGAGCCATCTGAGCTTAGCTTTGCACGGTCAACCATCCATAGGTAGAGAGTCCTGCTGTAAGCCACCTATTGCCCATTTCAATTGCCAATTTACAGTAATCGGAAGTGCGTGAAATGTATTTAGTGTAAACTATTGCTTAAGAGAAATTCTCACAACATGCAATTCTAGCACATTATATCATTTTCGAGAAAAATGGAGAACCTGATTGGGGACGTTTTGGTAGGAAAATATTTGCTACCAATCATGATCTCATTCTCCTTCGATTGGTATCAGAAGTGTCTAAATCTCATACAGTAAGAACGTTTCATTCGATACAGTTCAAACTAGAGGCTGAAAGATCATTTATACGAATTCGGAGATGCGAATAAGAAACTAGTTGGCGAAATACATTTACCCGCGAGCACCTCGTAAGTGAAATTCCTACTCTCGTATCCGAGTTTACATACTCAATTTTTTCGCACAACATTAAGAATGGCTGTTTAGAAACAGAAACACTACTCGCGTTGCGATCACATGCGCAGATGAAAAGTAACCGTTGGATAACTTTGGATATACACTTGTTGTTTCTTTTAGCTATTCACACAGTATGCGAAGAATCTTATAAATATTTGGAGATGCGAGCGAGAATCTGCTCTTGCATGCGAGATTAGCATTGTCATGTAATGGGAAATGCGAATTTCTTGCAAATGAGAATTGTCCTTTAGCAATCGTTTTTACTGCATACGAAAAAATTCGCTTGAGAATTAAATTTTGGTAGTTAGATAGGTATTTTATTTACGTCGTACTAAAACTGCACAATGGGCTATTGACGAAGATTTGGAAAACAACCCTGTTATTGTTATTGTCGTTCATTTACGTCGCACTAGAACTGCACAATGGGCTCTAGGTGATAGTGCTGAGGATGATCTGAAGACATACCATCACAATTTTGTTTCACGTTAAAGGGCCATTCTCATTGGATATGAAAAAAAATCGCATTTGCAAATTTGGAGATGAGAGCGAGATTGGCGGATTTTTTGTGCATAGATATATTTAATTGACGATTTTAGTTGGTTTACCTTTACCGTTGAATGGTTAAGTATGATTCTTCGCCAATAGTGATAATAATTTTATTTAGTTGCTTTTTTTTTTTTTTTACTATTCATGCACTCTATGCCATTATGCCTGCCTCAATCCCCTTAAACATAAACAGAATTTATTTTAAAATGTGAAAATATAACATTTCTTTTTCTACAACAGAAATACATAATAAATTTTTTGATGCTGTTTATTTATTAAATTTTATAACCTTTGAATTTATTTTTATTTATCTACTCGAACTACTAAAAAAATTTTTTTTTCTCCATTAGTTCAGGTAGATTTCTTAAAATTTTAATCTTTTTCTTCATAAAATATTTAGGAAATTATGTGTATGAAATACTACTATTATTAATAAGCACTGTTTAATATTTTTAATAGTACTTGGATTGATACTGATGTTTTTTTAGGGTTAAATGCCGCTGCCTGTTATACATTTACCCTTCGAGTTTTCTCTGCTGAGTTCTCTTGTCTTTTAGATTCACGGCAAACAAGCTAATAATGAGAACGCTTCATCACTAAATGGATTAGTTGTTTTTAATTTTGGAACTATGAAACTCACCCAAGTTATGAAAAAAAGGAGAGTATATTAATTTATCATGATAGCTTTGTTTATCACCATCGATAAAAAGCCCAACAATTTTATAAAACTCTTTATAGATTAAGAAAATGTCATTTTTTAAAAATGAAACTACTAGTTTTTAATGAAAATATCGAAAATATTTAAAGTTTTTCAACTGCTTTAGATATTTTTTATATTAAAACTGATAAAAATATTTTTATTCAGTTTTATATGGGTCATTCTCACGAAAACTGTCATTTTTCAGTTCATAAAATCC